TGTCACAGTCGATCCGTCCACTCGGAGGTTCCTGAATTCTGACCTGTGGTGTGTTTCAGAGGAGAAGGTGAAGGACTACAGGTACTACTTGAGGATGTGGGCCAAAGAGAAGGAACCCAAGTCAGAGACCATCAAAGACCTGCCTCGCATGAACCAGGTAAGGATGTGTCAGGTGTTCGCTCAGGATGAGGTGTGTCTGTGTGTATGTACGTGCGTTAACGTGTGTGTGTGTGTGTGTGTGTGTGTGTGTGTGTGTGTGTGTGTGTGTGTGTGTGTGTGTGTGTTTTTGAGGGGGGGGGGTCTAACCCTCCGTCACAAGGTCAAGTTGATTCTCGGTTCAACGTCACATGTTGCTGTCGTTAGCTCGGTCACGTCATATTACCGGTGAGTTGATGACGTCCTTACCGTACACGCCCTGGCCGTGTCCGCCCTGGATGAAGCCGGTGATGATCCACAGGAGCCGGAGCACTGAGCCCATCTTCACATCCTCCTCTGGCCGCCTCGCTGCCTCTCTCCCCCCGGGGAGCAGGTTGTCACTTCGGGTCCCGGTGGCTGCTGCTGCCGCTGCTCCTCCTCCGCTCCGGCCGGTTCTCATCCGAAGAGAACCCCCCCTCGCCCCCACAAACCCCGGTCAGAAGTGATGGGAAGGTCCGGTTCCGCTCATCCCGGATCGAACGTTAGCTGCACCGGCAGGAGGAGCTGACAGGGGCCGGGCAGCGGGGACCAGAGCGGGAGCCTCAGCCGCGTCTCCTTGGTGGTGACATTGTAGGAAAAAGATAAAAACACGGTGCGTCAGTCTCCTCCAACCGGGAAGATGCTCCCTGTCCCCGGGTCCCTTATCCGCTGCTCGGTACCGGACTCATCCTGAGGACCGGCGCTGTCAGCGGCTCGTCAGGCCGGTGAGAGGAGCAGGAGAGCGGGGCTCCGTGGCGCAGCGGTGCCGCTGAAGCTCCGGTGAAGAGAAGAGGCGAACCGTCAGTCCAGTGGGTTTTTACCGGGAGACACGTCACGAGCGAACCGAGCAGAGACACACGGAGACGAGCCGGCTTCCGGAACGGTCATTTCAAAATAAAAGCAGCTGACCAAACACACTGAAATAACTGACACACACACACACACACACACACACACACACACACACACACACACACACACACACACACGTTGCACTTATTAATTCAGTTTATTTTCATCGAGTTTCT